TTTCCGATTATCAAGGCTTCATGCTTCTCAGCCTACTTGGGAAAGCCTATGCCAGAGTGCTGCAAAGGCATTCTGTCCCAGAACAGTGGAACAGATCTTTACCCTAGTAAGAATCCTGTAAAGAGGCATGGGAGTTTGCTTATCCAGTCTACATGTTTTGCAGACTTGGAGAAGCCCTATGACCATGTTTCTTGGAGTGTCTTGAGGGAGTAACTCTATACAAACAGTGCAAGAGATGTGTCTGTATTCTTAGCAGTATGTCCCAATCCCAGTAAGTGTTGGATTCTGTCAGGGCTGCCCCTTGTCTCCGATCCTGTTTGTGGTATTCATGGACAGGATCTCAAGGTGCAGCCAAGTGTCAGAGCGTGTCCAGTTTGGGGGCCTTAGGGTGGCATTGCTGCTGTTTGCAGATGATGATGTTCTGATGGCCTAAACATCCTGTCCAAATAACAGATGTTACCCTTTAAATGATATAGTAAATAATACCTTTAATATGAAAGTTCAAAATTAAACATAACCTTTTTTTTCTTATTCATAAATCACCTTTTCCCTGATCTTTTCACGTATAAGAGGTCACTGTACTTTAAAAACATATTGTATACTTCAGAACTCAAAACTTCCTCGTTAAAACAGTTATTCCAAAATATATATATACAACAAAAATATACAGAAATTTGACCCCCTTTGGTACTAAGGAACCATTGGTTTGCATGCTGTGAGTTCCTCCAGGGAAAATAGCAGAACACCTTGTTTGAGCTATAGCATGTGCTTAACTTAACTTATCATTTGGGCACAACATTGTGTGTCTACCTGTTGGAATGTTTGTTTATTACTCACTTGAGATTGTACATGCATTACCTCATTAGAGATGCGCTGCTGAAGGTTGCGCATACGCACTCTAACAGGACTCTGAACTTCATCAGAAGAGGTTCCTGAAGCTTGATCACTTTCTCCATCTGACCACATTTTATGATGAACTACACCTGTAAACACACACACACGTTTATTAACTCTGATGTCTTGAATATTATTTTACTGCACATCACATATGTGAAAAAAATTAAAACCATAACCATGTACATATTAGGTACACAAAAGTTTAGGTATCTGGAGCATAGACAGGCAACTCCAGTCCTGGATTTGCATTGCATTTCCCAAAAGCAACTATGGTAGCAAGTTCCGTCATTACCAATAGATGTCCTGCAGAGTTTAGCTCCATCCCTAATCAAACACATCTGAAAAATGGAACCTTAGTCATCAAGATTGCTTGAAAATTGCATACAATTGTTTTTGATTAGTGATAGAACTAAACTCTGCAGGACAGTGGCCCTCCAGAACCAAAGTTGCCCATCCCTGATCTGGAGTAAAAAGGGACATTCACACAGTGATTGAGTTGCAATGGCAAAGCAACTGGAAATCATTCATTTCTGAGAGTTGGCAACTTGAGGCAACATGAGCAACAGAGGCTGTTGGAAATATCACAAAGTTGAGTAGCTGGGTTGAACACTTTATAAGAACCTTTTAGATAGTTGTGACCTACTCACCCTAGTTTAGGACTTACATGCAGAAATAGGCATAAATCAATAAAATGCAGCTAGGCCCCTGGCTCTGATGGGAGTTTTACAAAGTATATTTTATAAAGAATTCAATGATTTTCTGTGCCCCTATATATTCTAAATGTATACCTTGGCAAATACAGTCTGCACTTTGCCGCTGATTTTAAAGGGGTCATCGGATGCCCATTTTCCACAAGTTGATATGATTTTTTAGGGTCTTAATGAAAAGTCTGTAACATAGTTTGGTTAAAATTTCTCAATGGTAGTGTAAAAAATACCTTTTTTTACTCTGTCCAAAACAGCTCTTTTCAGAGCAAGCCGTTTTGTAGCATTTTCCTTTAAATGTTAATAAGCTCTGCTGACCCCGCCCCTCTCTTCCGAGCTGCTCTATGAGGGACTGTTTACTTTAGCCGCATTCATCGTGAAACTTGCTAATTAGCATTATTAGGAAAGGCGATTTGCAAAGATTCATTACAAAACATTATACTCACTTCTTCTGTAGGTGAGGTTGGATCATGAACGATTAGCGCGAACATAGACGCATTTATGTAGATCGGGGGCGCATTTCCTTCAGAAACAAATGTCATCCACTGCGTCTTCAGCGGCTCAGATGTCGGGTGTAAATGACGACTGCTATGTTCATTATTACATCCAACAACAGAACACCTCAATCGCTTGTTAGGAGTCATTCTTGTCTACATCTGCTCTGGCAGTGAAACAATGGAGGACTGATGACAGCTCACTCAGGGCGGGTCTAAGGTAAGACACCAGTCCAGTCTGTGCTGAAACGCTACTGTCAATCAAACTATCGTGGGAGGGGCCTGTCTGTGTGATGTCATACAGACAGGCATCTGAGATCGGCTCGATTTAAGAAAGGGGTAACGAAGGGGTAAAACACTGGGTGGATTTTTATCATTATAGGGTAGTTGTGTACACACACAGCCAACACACATTTCAGTTCAAACAACTTGTAAAAGTGCATGTAGCATCCTAAGACCTCTTTAAAGGAAATCATAACAGTGGCTCCTGATGATATATTGAGGTTTTATGAAGAAAAATGATTGGTCTGTGGAAGAATTGCCAGGAGCCACAAATATTAATTTTGTGTTCCATGATATGCCTTTTTTATTCTAAAAAAACAGTAGCTGCAAAACGATTGGTCTGTGGAAGAATTGACAGGAGCCACATATATAAATTTTGTGTTCCATGATATGCCTTTTTTATTCTCAAAAAACAGTAGCCGCAGTCTTGCATTTTAAGAATCACCAAGGACCACGGTTTCAGCTAAAAATCTTTACTGTTCTGCTGAAGAAAAAATGTGACCTACATCTTGGATGGCCTGAGGGTGAGTAAATTAATGGCAAATTTTAATTTTTGGGTGAACTATCCCTTTAATCTGTGCACTGTTGTATAGATATGTACAAACCCAATTCCAAAAAAGTTGGGACACTGTACAAATTGTGAGTAAAAAAGGAATGGAATAATTTACAAATCTCATAAACTTATATTTTATTCACAATAGAATATAGATAACATATCAAATGTTGAAAGTGAGACATTTTGAAATGTCATGCCAAATATTGGCTCATTTTGGATTTCATGAGAGCTACACATTCCAAAAAAGTTGGGACAGGTAGCAATAAGAGGCCGGAAAAGTTAAATGTACATATAAGGAACAGCTGGAGGACCAATTTGCAACTTATTAGGTCAATTGGCAACATGATTGGGTATAAAAAGAGCCTCTCAGAGTGGCAGTGTCTCTCAGAAGTCAAGATGGGCAGAGGATCACCAATTCCCCCAATGCTGCGCAAAAAATAGTGGAGCAATATCAGAAAGGAGTTTCTCAGAGAAAAATTGCAAAGAGTTTGAAGTTATCATCATCTACAGTGCATAATATCATCCAAAGATTCAGAGAATCTGGAACAATCTCTGTGCATAAGGGTCAAGGCCGGAAAACCATACTGGATGCCCATGATCTTCGGGCCCTTAGACGGCACTGCATCACATACAGGAATGCTACTGTAATGAAAATCACAACATGGGCTCAGGAATACATCCAGAAAACATTGTCGGTGAACACAATCCACCGTGCCATTCGCCGTTGCCGGCTAAAACTCTATAGGTCAAAAAAGAAGCCATATCTAAACATGATCCAGAAGCGCAGGCGTTTTCTCTGGGCCAAGGCTCATTTAAAATGGACTGTGGCAAAGTGGAAAACTGTTCTGTGGTCAGACAAATCAAAATTTGAAGTTCTTTTTGGAAAACTGGGACGCCATGTCATCCGGACTAAAGAGGACAAGGACAACCCAAGTTGTTATCAGCGCTCAGTTCAGAAGCCTGCATCTCTGATGGTATGGGGTTGCATGAGTGCGTGTGGCATGGGCAGCTTACACATCTGGAAAGGCACCATCAATGCTGAAAGGTATATCCAAGTTCTAGAACAACATATGCTCCCATCCAGACGGCGTCTCTTTCAGGGAAGACCTTGCATTTTCCAACATGACAATGCCAGACCACATACTGCATCAATTACAACATCATGGCTGCGTAGAAGGATCCGGGTACTGAAATGGCCAGCCTGCAGTCCAGATCTTTCACCCATAGAAAACATTTGGCGCATCATAAAGAGGAAGATGCGACAAAGAAGACCTAAGACAGCTGAGCAACTAGAGCCCTTATATTAGACAAGAATGGGACAACATTCCTATTCCTAAACTTGAGCAACTTGTCTCCTCAGTCCCCAGACATTTGCAGACTGTTATAAAAAGAAGAGGGGATGCCACACAGTGGTAAACATGGCCTTGTTTTTTTTAAATGTGTTGATGCCATGAAATTTAAAATCAACTTATTTTTCCCTTAAAATTATAAATTTTCTCAGTTTAAACATTTGATATGTCATCTATGTTGTATTCTGAATGAAATTTGAAACTTCCACATCATTGCATTCTGTTTTTATTCACAATTTGTACAGTGTCTTAACTTTTTTGGAATCGGGTTTGTAATCTATATTATAGTTTTAAAGGGTTTTTGTTTTCTTAGCCCAATTTACCCCTTTATTAAGTTTTTATCCCTCATTTTAGGTGTGTGTCTTTAAGAAATGGATGGTATTAATTGCTCACATGACAGGAAACAGTAAATACTCCAGTATAAAGGAGCAGCATAGCAAACAAATGGACAGACACTAACAGAAAAACTATGTAGGTGATCTCACTGGATTGAGTTGACTTTCTGTGGATGTTCCAGAAACCGATTATTGGGTTGGTATTAACACTTTTATTGGATTGTATACCGTGGTGCAATCATTGGCCTTACAGCTCTCTAGTGATGCAAAGTCAGATTCATTTCCGCGAACCAGTTCTTTTCGGACAGTTCGGTTCATTGAACCAGTTCAATAAGCCAATTCATTGGTTCCTGACATCAAGCAATGCTGTCACTGTGCATATCTTTTCTATCAACTCAGTGCCATGTTGTATGAATGAAATATTCATATAAAATAATTTGTCAACACATATTGAAACATTCAAATAAAAATGTATTTGTGTGAATGCATATAGCTGATTATTGCCTTTCATTTACTTAAGTTAATGGTGTTAGTGGTCACAGTTTCATTCGCGGACCAGTATTGACTAGACAACAACTTAGATAAGATTCCTAAAAGTTTCGCACCTACAGCACACATTACAGACACTGATGCACAAATGAGGATATGTTCTACATGTCATGTATAAAGAAAGAATAAGCCCGTCTTATAAACTGCTTGATTTCAATTTACTTAAAATATGATCTGCATGCAAAATAAACCATGCTAATTCAGGTTTTTCCATGTTTTCATAAAAATCCAGGGTTTTTTAATAAAACAATTCATAAGCATATCTCCAGTAGCCTATGTTTTGTTTGTTATAAAGAAACTTTACGCATCAGGTTCATTCAAGTCCTTGGTGATACACACGCAGGTCTTAAATTTGGAAACGGAAAGTCCAGAATCGCGATATGGCTTGATGTGACGATTAAACTTCAAAAGGCCACGATTTTATAAAATAAACATGAGCGCTGTATGTTTCGTAACTGTATGTAAGTCCAGTGCTGCACTGCTTTGTGTTCTGCTGTTACCAGGGAAACAGTTCTATTTTTGCTGTTCCGAAAGCACCTCCTGCTGGCAGAGAATTAATGTGCATTTTCAATAAGCCTGTTTTATTGGAGTGGGGTATTCCTGCAATACCGGAGGTTGCAGTTTCAGGATCGCATTTCTAGGACCCTATAATTTTATTATTATTATTTTATTTTTATTTATTTTTTTGTATGTATTTATGTATTAACAGTTCATACAATTTTATAGCACTTGCTATTCAATTCTGTATATTATTCTTTTTAAGGAATTATGTAGTTGTTTAATTGTATACACTAATTATTGCCCTGTACCCGTTGGT